GCGATAGACAACGCGAGCGACCGCTCTCCGCGCGAAGTCGCGCCAGATGTTGGTCGCAGCAAACGCGTTCACGATTTACTCGTGTTCGGACGATCGGGATAGGCGCGTTTTCGCAGAGGAGAGCGATCGTACCATGGGTATAGTGGCACCTTGAAGCTACGACGCACGTTCTACCAGAGGTTGCCGTTACGCTGCACGAGGTAACGGTAGGAGAGAATTAAACGTTGTTTGCTTTCGACGAAAGTTGCGCCATGATAAAACGAGAAAGCGAAAGGGAGGACGAATGAACGATGACGAACGTAAAAATAAAACGTAAAAGAAAAAAAAAAATAAAGATATCGATGAAACGGACCGAAAGAGCGAGAGTATTCGCGTAACAGAAAATGGGAGCTAAAATGAGAGGGGGAAGGGAGAAAAGTATCAAAGTTTACAGATAGCGAACGAGCTAGAGACGGAGCGAGAACGAGAGAGATAGAGAGGTGAGAGAAAAAGAGAGAAAAAGAGAAAGAGAGAGAGAGAGAGAGAAAGAGTTGGGGGGATGACACCTACCAAACGGCGGCTCGATTTCTCCTCGAAGGCGCGACGGGCGCCACTATACCCACAGAAGCCTTTGTAGAAATCGCCCTGGTCCGCCACTGAAACAGAGACAGGATTCCAAACGTTAGGGGTGCTTCTACTTTGGAGCGCGTATCGCACGCGCTACGAATCCTTCAGCCTTCCTTTTACGCGCGAACAACGAACAACGAACAACCGACGACAGACGAACGAGACGCGATTCGACGACCGATCTGTCAAAAGCACGGGTCACGGGCAAATTTCCACACAGGCTCCTGTTGTACGCGCACGCGCGTCCGACGCTCTTCGTTTCGATTTTTCTCCTCTTACTTTCATTTTCTCTTTCGCACTTGCTTTCTTTTTTATTTTCGTTCGCTTTTGTTCACGTTATTTTTTTTTTCTGGCTGCATCCGCTTCGCGTGTCCAGGAGATAACAACGCCTCGAAAGGGTCGAAAGAGAAAACACGGCTTCCTTTCCTTACCAATCGCCGCGGCTGCTTCACCAAGGGCCGATTCATTCCGTTCATCTTGTGGTAGAGACCGCATGCGTTGCACAGGTAATGGCCGGTACCGTCTCGTCGCCATAACGGAGTGGAAATTGCTCCGCAATTTACGCACTCGCGGCCCTCCGTAAAGTATTCCGCCTCGATGTTGTGCACTGCGCGATTTCGTACAGTTTTCATAAAGGAACAGGCTTTCTCGCCGTGTCTCGAACGACGACGAACGTTGTCGCGATCGATATATTTTTTGCGGGAAAACGACCGGGTAAAAGAGGAACAGCGCGCATCGTTCGCGTTCCTTTTCTCCCCTTTCGTTTTTCCGTAACACCGAAAAGATAACGGCGAATACCGAGGTGCCTCTCCTACCTTGCCACGCGTATTCGGGAAATAGACGAGCAGCGCATTGGACGGCGCGGGAAGGGGGAAATGCCCGAGAAACGAAGGTTCGTACTTTTCCTATGCCTCGGGTCATACGGTTTTCACTCGTCCTCGAGGAAAAATTAGAAAAATTCTGGAATCGTTGACCGTTGGTAACGGCGTCGCAACTTCGAACCGCTCGTTCTCCGAAACTACGAACAACCTAATCGGTGCTGCCGTTTTCCGCCGAAATCCATCAATCTTGAATAACGATATGTACGCTTCGTATCTTCGTATAAAATACACGGACCACGTATCCTTGTACAATTATCTGTTACTTATTTCTACAATTTTTCTCTCTTTTCGTACGCGTTTCGTAGCATTGTTCAGAATTTCGAAGCGTGGATTTCGTCGGAACGCGTTCCTCCGATCAGAAGGTCTTCGATCGAAACGAAGGAAAAGCGAACGCGACGATGAGAGGAAAGGATGACAGGAAACGTAGAAACGTATTTATGCGGCAACTCGCGTCAGAGGATGTAGAGGGACACGCCGCGTTATCGTTACTTCCGGCGTTCTCTCGATAATAACGACTAGCAGCCGTTGGTAGCGCGCCGTACCGTTTCGCGTCGTACCGACGTAACGCGACGGTTTCCGCGTTTCAAAATCTCGCGGACGATCGAATCTCGCGATTTCTACACCGTCGGAGGTTCGCGTCCGATCCAAGAAATGCTCGAGCGACTCCGTTTCGCGTTACCCTCCTCGGGGACCGACGCGTATCTCTCGACGAGAAGAAGAAAGAGAACGTATAGGTCGATGCACGGTACGCGTCTCGCGTATCCGGCAGAAAACGGACTGGGAAGCGATCGGGTATCGTACATAGGTAAGCCAAGAGTCGCTGACGTTTGCGACGCTCTCGTGACCTCTGTTCATCGAACGACGACGCAAGAATAACAGACCAAGGGAAAGAGAGAGAGAGAGAGAGAGTGTGAGTGAAAGAAAAGTAAGCAAAAAAAAAAAACGCAGCAGCACGTACAAGAGGATACGTACTTACATAAGTACGTTCGTTGTTGCGCGTGGCTCTGAACGAGTCGAAAATACGACTGTTGGTCCGAACACGAGGACCTTTAACTATTGTTCGCGGTCTCGAAACAATTTTTCAGCTACGGGCTGATCAGTCGACATCGCGAACGAGGTGATGCACCGCTTGAAAAAGGGTTCGAATAGCACGAGCTTAGTCGGAAATCGTTAGACGCCTCGGTGGATGACTCAGCAACGAGGAACGAAAGGAACGGCAAAGTCGAATTACCGAAGGCCGCAGGCCATCTTAAGGATGTCGCAAGGGGTCGAACGACGCCGAAACGAGAGAATCGGCGAGAATCAACGGTACGAACCGAGCAGAGACACGCGGACGAGCAAAGTTCAAGTTGGTTCAACCATAGGCAGGTATAATTATACGTATACGTGTATGGGTTGAACGGAAGCCAGACGAGGCGAAGCCAGGGTTAAAGCACGCCGAACCGGAGCAGACGCGCGACCGTCCGCGCTTCGAACCACTCGAGAGCGTTCAAAGATGCATTTTCGTTGCACGCTGGCGTGCACAGACACGGTCGCCGCTTTCTGAAAGGACCACGCGCCACTTGAAAACCTTTCGACGCTCACCCCCTTGCGAGAAACGCGTTCCTCTTTCCTACCCACGCTCGTATTTTTTCATCCGTTGTTCGAAACACGCCGACGCTCTCTCTTCGCGTCTTCGAAAACGAACAACGAAACGCGCGATCTCCAAGTTACGATTCGCGACGAGAAAAAAAGAAAAATAAAACGTCCGTCGTCGTTACTTTTTATATCGCGTCTCGAATACGCGAGACATCGACGAAGACGGAGGGAGAAAGGAGGAAAGAAAGAGAGAGAGAGAGAATTCCGCGTCGCTCGGGTAAAAAACAAAAGTTCAAGACGACCTTTTGAACCGTTCGAGTCCTTCGTCGAGATTGCGCCACGCGATGCACCCGACGCGAACGTTATCGCGACAACCGTGGTATCGTCACAATACCCCGCGGCATAAAAATAACGATCCCCGGGCGAATCGAGAAGACTTTTTTGCTTTATCCGAAAGGCGAAATCGATGAATCGAGAAGAGCGTCGTCGGCTCGGCGCGAATCGAGCGACACGCGAAGAAAAGGAAAACGGTCGCGTGACTGAATGAAAGGTGCGCGTGCGCTCGGCGCGGCGTGCCGCCTCGCGAGATACGTCGAAATTATCTGAAATTCGCAGTCCCGAAACAACCAGATACATCTATCGGGCACTATCGTTGCTTTCGTATCGCGCGTAGACGAAGCTAGATTAACGTGGTTTGTACGTTGTCTAGGTCAGGGTCGGCGCGCGTTTGTATAACAGCGGGGACAATGCCGCGATAATTCGAGCCGGTGAAACGCGCATCCGACCAACGTTGCCACCGTGTTACGTAGCTAACGTCCTGCACAAAGTAAGTCGGCTACAATGCCGGCACGAAAATGGGTCAATTGATTTTTGCGATCGAGAACCAATCGCGTTCGCTGGACATCTTCTTTAGGATGTCCGGCGCACGTTGCTCGCGAATCGGTACGAAAAATCAGATACGTATCGGGACCAGGTTTTATCATAAAAAGGAGGAACGCGACTCGTTAATCGTAAATTTTCTTCGCTTTTCTTTAGAACGAATCGGTCGCAAGCGAAACATCGCGATACAATGACCGTGTTGGGAAACGATCGTTCCCCCGAGACTACGCGAACAGATGGATAGCGGGATTGCGGTGTGACCAGGAGCGGTTGCGGAGAAGAGATATTCGAGCGCAGTAGCATCTGACGTCAGCGCGATCGGTGTTTCCGTCGACGGGACGAGGCGGGTCGAGGCGGGTCGAGTCGAACCGGAGCACGGCTCGTCGCGAACGAGAGAAGACGAGGGGAAGCGAAACGATTCGATCGAACCGCGATTTCTAACGAGATCGAAGAAACTTCGACGACGCGTGTCTCGTTTCTCCGTCGACGAGCGTACGAACGAACGAACGCGAAGAAAAAAAAGAATGGAAAAAAAAGGGGCGCGAGAATGACAAAAAAGAACTGTAACGCGATATTTTCCCCTCGAGAAACAACTCGGAGCTTCTCCGTCTCTTTTTTTCTCCCCCAGTTTTCTCTCTCTCTCTCTCTCGCTCCGTTCGTAAGTAAGTCTCGCTCGAGGGAGACGGATCGAATCCTTTTCTCGTTATTTACGATGCACGCAACACGATCCAGCGCGTTCGCGTACGCTTCGAAGCGCCAACGATTTATCGTCTTTCGAGACATCGAACGTAACGCGACACGATTCGTCGTCGTTCGAGAAGCACGAGCGATCGGAGACGTTCTCTCGTCGCGGAGGAGCGGCGCGCGCGAACGGAACGAAAACGATGCTCGCGGGCGTACGCGAATTGAAGAAAAAAAGAAAAAAAAAATAGAAGCAAAAAGAAAATAGGAAAAGTGTAAGAGAGACGCAAAAAGGTAGAGGTACTCACTGGCGGTAAGACTAGCCGTGGCGCTGAGCTGATGCTGCGTCGGCGTCGAGGACGGATTGACGGCCTGTCTAGCGGAGGGCGACGCGTACTGCGAAGTCAAGGAATCGTTGGACGCCGGGGCGTAACTCCAGGCGGACGCGTCGACGGCCACCGCTCCGACGGTAGCGTTGTTCTGCTGGCTCGGGTACGACTGGCTGTATCCACGAAAGCTGACTCTGCCGCGGAACGGTTGCAAAAATCCCGGTAAAGGCTGATGAGTCACCGTGGCCGACGACTTGCCGCCAGCTCCGTAATCTTCCGAGATCGTCGGAAGGGCCGTGCTCAACGCTCCTGTCGCGCGAGAAAAAAAATCGATGAAGAGGAACGTGCTCTTTAGCGAGAAGCGATCGAGAACGATAGCTTACCTTGCGCGTTCCAGAGCTGCTGCGGCGATCCGGTCAATTCCGTCGGGTTGGCGGTCATGTAAGGAAGCGTGTACGCGCCTTCGGTGGCCGTGGCGTTGGCCGCCGTCATCGTGCTCACGCCGCTCATCGTGCGATACAGGGTACTGAAACAGACGATATCGCCAAACGGAGATGAACGCACGCCCCTACCCAAGGGAATTCTGTCGACGGACGATCGCCGACGACTCGAGTCGCGCCGCTCGAGCGACTCGCGCGCGAGACCGGAAACGAGAAGATCCGTAAATGCGGGCACGCGCCGACACGCAGGGACGTTTTTCGATTCGAACGACGACCACCCGGAACACGACTACTCCATTACCGTTGCCACTGTTACCGCCATTACCTTCATTACCGTCGCTATTACCGCCGGTACCGTTACCATTAGCGACATCGACCTTTTTCCGTACCTGAACTCGACGAGCTGCCCGACCGCGTCCTGCCAACCGACTTCGCCGCCCGAGAACCGAATCGTCCACGACATTTTTCCGAGCGGCGATTGCGCAACGACCGAACGGCACGCGCGATTTCGAAAGCAATCTCGAACGGGCCGGCTCGTTGACGTCGAACGATCGCCGGAAAGCGGGCAAACGCGAACGGATCGTCGACGAAGGTAGCTGTTTATCGACGCGGATGCGACGTAGCGAGATCGCGCGACACGAACCGGAGCGAGAAACGCGCAACCTTGACGCTTCCCGCGACTCCTCGGGACACGTACCGTTCGATCGGTACGTGCTCCGCGGACGATTCGCCTTTTCCCTCGAATCGACGTCGAACGCGAGACGCTTCGAGCCGAGCGACGTTTATCGCGAACGAGAAACGCGTCTCGATAACCGTGCAACGATGACCTTCGCGTTTCGCGATCGTCGAGCGCGACCTATAAACAAAAAACTTACAGGCAAAGAGAAAATCTCTCATTTTCTCTGTTCGCCAGGTGCTAGAATCGGCCAACGTGAACGAGGAAGGAAACAGCGCGCACGGACGTAACACGTGCTACGCGCTCGTCGTTTCCGCGGCGAACACGCGGCACACGATACGCTTCTTGATCTCCCGTCCCCGTAGCGCGAACCGAGTCGACGGAGAATCGTTCGCGTTCTACGATCGACCTCGATAAACCTTAAATCGCATCCTGTCGGATCGGTGAAGAGGGACGCGTCCCGGTAAACTTCGATAATCGAGCGATCGGCTTTCTTCCGAGAAACTTACCGAGACGTTCTCGATCGTCGTCGGTTACCGACGCGCTTCTCGCGTAACCTCTTTCGTCGCCGCTGCTCCGCTTTCTTTCGTTTTCTCCGTCCCCCTCGACGCGTCTACCTCTGTCCGTCGTTCCTCCTCGTTCTTTCGCGTTTGGTCTCGCTGGTTGGACCGACGCGAGGCGACCGGAGCGCGAAGAAAAGCGCGACGGAGAAAAGAAAGAAAAAATAAAAGTGTCGGCCTGCCACGAAGAATGCAGATATCGCGAAACTCGATCTAGAAGGTCGGTGACGGCGGGGTTATAGCCCGTGCTACCGGATCGCTATCCGAATCCTCCGAGTCGATAAGACGCTTCTCACGATACCGCGATACGGAGGAAGAGGAACAAACTTGTTCGGAAGCGACCCTCGACTGTCCTCTCGCGATCTTCTTCGAACCGAGTATCGATACCGTAAAGACAGTTTCGGCTCGGAGAGAAACGAAAGCGATTTCCTCGACCAACGAGAGAGATCCCTTTGATCCGACCGTCGAACGATCCACTCTTTCTTCGCGCGGCCGCGTTGCATCACCCACCGGATATCGAGACGTTCGACGTACGCACCCGGTCAAATAGAGACAGAGAAACTAAACAAAGGACAACGTTTGAGCCACTCACTGCATACCGTGCCGCGCGATACGCCGCAGCGTGCCACCAAATCGCCACCGATTTCTCCTCGGCTGTCCTCTCTCCTTCCGCTTCTGGTTCGCGTCGATGTGTCCTTCCGACGAGATCGCTCGAAAGAGCAGACGAAGAAAGGAATCGACGGACGCGGTTGATCCAAGACGACGTCGAGTGGTCGATCGCGTAACCGTAACCGAGGCGAACGCGAACTGACCGGAATGCGCTCCGACGGTGCGGACGTCGGAGGACCATCTACGCGTTTACGACTCCCCTCTACCCTTCGGCTCTCCTGCTCTGTCCTTTTTCTTTCCTTCCGTCTCACCTTCGTTCTTTTCTTCCTTCCTTTTTCCCTTTCTTTGATACTTCTTTCTTCTCTACGTTGTTTCGCGCCCCTCTCGCTCGACGCTCCCGCCCCTCGATAAACGTTCTCGAGTATATCTCGGATCCCCACCATCGCGATTCCGCTCTTCGATTCGGCGCCGATTTCTCCTCTACAGTCCGCGATCGCGAAACTCCTTCGCGGATCGAGATGGAACCGTTCGAGATGGAATCGGCTTCTTCGCTAGAGGTTAAAGGTTAACGCGCGTCGACGAGAAGAAACGAATCGTAACGAGAACGCGTTACCGTCGTGCTCGAAAAGGGGGATACGCGGCACGAGTTGGTTCTCGGAACGCGATGGGTATCCTATACGGTGGTACGAGCGTACCGGACCGTAAACCCCCAACGACGATTCGCTCCGATCCGATTCGCGCGTTCGATCGAGAAAACGAAAACACCGAAAGCGTTACCGGATCGCTCGGCTAATCTCGACGAGGAGATATTCCGCAAAAAGAGAAACGAAAAGTGGATCGTTCTCTGCACCCGAACTTTAGATATCTAAATTCGAAGGTCGTGGCCCGTGCACGTGCACGCCGCATGAGGGACATTGACAAACACCGGACGAGACGGTCGAACCGAAGACTGCTGGATGTCTCGTTCGACCGTTCCTCGACGACCCACGATCGCGTGTACGTTCCGTTCTACCGATCGCCGATAGCGCGGAAAATGCGAACCGCTAAACGCGTCGACCGCGATCGATAACGCTCTCTCGATGCGAGCAGAACGACGCGATCGAAGAATCCGTTTCTATCGGAGTCAATAAACTCTTATCGGTTGTTACTCGCGTAAAAAGGAACAACGAGGAGAAGCTCGAGCGTTAGACCGATTCTCGATCGCGATCGGAAACGCCGAACGCGTTTATAACGAGATCGCGCGACACGTATCGAGAGTTCGGCTCGTTTTTCGACGCGGGCTTAGTTTTGTTTTCGGTTACGTATCGCCTACGTACACAACCCTCGAAACGCGGAGCATCCCCTTGAGCCGTCGTGCAAACAGCTTTGCGAGGCCGCAAACGGTGTTATACGGGTAAGGTTCGCGCTGCGACCGATCGCGTCACCGTTCAAACGATTTTATCGTTAACGAAGGCCCGACGAAAACTCGCTTCCCGTGATCGATCGCAAAGGCGATAATCGCGAACGACGAGAAAACTCACCTGGACAGAGGACCGCTGGGCGAGTGCGGTGCCGAGGATCCTTGCTCGTGATCCGGATGATGATGCGGCGTCCCGGCCGCGTGATGGCCGTAAATCGATTCCATGTACATTTGATCGGAAACGCGATCGGCATCCTGGCCGAGGGAGTGGTTCGTCTGCACGGAAGACGGCGGTTGCATGGCCGTCAGGTGAGCGTACGACTGTCTGCCCTGATCGTTCGGGCTGTAACTACCGTCCGGTTGTCCTTGACGATGAGGCGACGAGTATCCTTGATCGTCGCGCGGACTGCGACTGGAACTCGGTGAACTACCGGTTCGAAGAGTCGGAGATCCTCCGCCACCGCCGCCACCGTCCACGCCGCCGTTTCCACCACCTCCGCCTCCACCACCGCCACTGCCACCACCGTTACCACCCTCACCACCGCCGCCACCACCTCCGCTACCGGCGC